AACTTATTATTCCTCCATGAGAAATTATGATCATTAAGCTTAAATTTATTTTTCAAACTTTATTAATTTCTACAATATACGTTAATTAGCATAGCTTACAGAGTCTGATTATTATTACTATTATCCAGTTGCAACATTTGGCTTCCTGTTGCACCATGTCAGCCACTGTTCTGCGATATAAACATGGGCAAGGGTTGAATGTCATTTTGATTAAGTAAAAAGTCCTATTAACTATCAGTGATGTGTGATTAACCAGATGTGTCCTTGAACATAGTGACAGGTTCCACTGTAATAGTGACACTTTATAGTATATTCAATTGGCCATCTTGCTTGAATTAAACTCAGTCAAAAATATTCAAAGTGTTAAATGGATAAATAACCAATTACCATTGAATTTTTTTTTTATAAATACGCATTATAAGTAACACGTTTTCAAAAAACTGTCATCGCCATCCCCCAAAACATCGGCACCAGTTGTGACAGCTCTGAAACATCCTGGACACCCAACGGCAGCTCTAGTGGAAGCCAGACTCAGCTGTTACAATAAGGTGCCGAAACCAATGGCATCCCTGATACCTGTTGTGTATTCGGCTGGATTATTCAGATGAACTTTAGTTAATAAATAGGATGAACGAATCATACATGATATACAAAAAGTGTAGGAATTCAGCTAACATAAGTCTTTCTGCGAAAAAAAAAAAAACTCTAATTAAATTCTTTCTTCTTCGTCTGTCTTCAAGTTCTTCTTCGACTAGTAATAAAGCATCATGGGATATGTGGTCCATTTGCCGAAGCCAGTGGCAACACTTACAGCTAGCCTCGAAAACAGTGGCACTAATGGCAGGTGTCAGAGGAAGTGCCAGTACGAGGTGCCGAGGTCAGCCGAAGTCAGTGACAACACTGGCAGCTAGTCCCGAAAACAGTGGCACTTATGGCAGCTGTCAGCGGAAGTGCCAGTATGAGGTGCCGAGGTCAGCTGAAGTCAGTGACAACACTGACCGCTAGCCCCAAAAACAGTGGCACTAATGGCAGGTGTCGGAGGAAGTGCCAGTACGAGGTGCCGAGGTCAGCCGAAGTCAGCCGAACGCAGTGGCAGCACTGGCAGCTA